TCTCTCTCTCTCTCTCTCTCTCTCTCTCTCTCTCTCTCTCTCTCTCTGTGTGTGTGTGTGTTTGTTTCTTCTTTCTCGTGGTTTCACCCATTGGTTCTAATTCTTTTTTTTTATGCTTCTAATTTTTCTTTACAACATGACTAATGTGAATATAGGTTCAATATGAATGTATATGTAGAGCCTGTATCAAACTGCATGCCCTCTTGCGGTGGGGGGGAGGAAAGAAATGGGGAGAAAATTTGGAACTCAAAATCTTATGGAAGAGAATGTTGAAAACTAAAACTAAATAAATAAAAATCAAAACAAAAAAATGGAAATTGCAAAGAGGAAAATGTAACCTTGATGTAACACACACACACACACACACACACACACACACACTAATAACTATAGATATTCACAAATAGAATAGGCTTCCTCAAGATATGCTGAGTTCTTCTTCCATGGAGCTCTTCAGTCAGAGAATGGACGACCACTTGCCAGGGATATTAAAATGGAAATTCTGGGGCAGCTAAGTGGTACAGTGGATAGAGCAACGGCCCTGGAGTCAGGAGGAACTGAGTTCAAATCTTGCCTCAGACACATGAGACTCACTAGCTGTGTGACCCTGGGCGAGTCACTTAACCCCACTGCCTCGCCAACAAAAAAAAATGGAAATTCCTCTCTGGTAGAGTTTGGGCTAGTCAGCCAATAAGGGCACTTCTAACTCTCAAATTCCATGACTGTATGAATGAGGTGACTTTCCCAACCTTTCAAAGGTACTGAATGCCAGAGCTGGAATTTGAACTCAGATTCTCTGAAAGGATGATGTTCCCCACTACGTCACAGGTGGGCTGTGATGGGCTTTGTCATCACATCTGAGTTGCTGTAGGGGAAGGTTCCTGGTCTCTATGACTCAACAATTCTGTGCCTCATAAGCTTGGCTTTTTTCAGCTCCTTTCTCTTAATCATTAGTAAAGGCCTCCTGAAAATCTCAGCCTGTGTCTTGAGGGAGTCCTCATCTCTGAAGATCAGGGAATATCTAGTATGAGAGTTTAGAGAAGATAGAAGCCCAAGTGACTCCAGACCCGTCTGGTCTACTTCGTACATGGGGATCAGATTCCTTCCATTCTCTTTGTCTCCTCACTTTAACTCTGCCTCTTCTCTTTCTCTTTCACCCTCTCCTTTTCATGTTTTAAGATTCTCTTTACTCCTTTCCTCTCTGCTCCACTCACCACCTTGGTCTTTCCTCTTTGCTCACTCACCTCTTCTCACTACCCCACCTGCAGCCTCCTCACTCCCCCTCAGTCTCTCTTCTCTGCTGATCCCCATTCTCTTTCTTCTTTCCCCGCCTTTCTACTCTCACTTCTCCATTTCTTCTTTCTTTCCTGTCCTCTGCTAGATCTCTTCTCTCTCTCCCTTTTCATTTTATTCATTCTCTCTCCACTCCCATGTCTTATTTCTCTGCTGTTGCCCTCCTTGTCTCCCCACATACCCTGCCCCCCCATCCTCTTGGCGACTTGCGCTCTCACCTCCTCGGACTCTGCTGACCTCCTCGTGGACCACACAAACTCCATGACAGCGACAAAGACAGCGATGATGAGGCCACAGATGAGCACCACAAATATTCCACCAATGTTCTCCATTCCCAGCCCTGGAAGGAAATAGAGAAGGGGCCAGGGAGACATCGAGAGTTCAAGAGAAGGGCAGGGCATAGGGTGGGGTGCACTTATTTCAGGGGGCTGGGGAGGGTCACTGACCTTTGGCCCGATGGTCCTCTTCCTTGGGACACCGGCCCCCCTCCCACCACTTTCGCTTTAGGATCTCCAACCGGTTGTTCTCTTGCAGCTGCAAGATAGCCAATGTGATCTCGTCCCGGAATGGGGAGCCTTGAAAGGGAAAGAGAAGGTGTTTAGGGCCCTTCAGTCTTCACAAATCTCCGGGGGCGCTTTCCTCTGATCCCTAATCTTCCCACTTTCAATTTCCTCTCCAGCTCCTTCCGTCTCTTAACCCCCATCTCTCTAGATTCTTCTGATGCCTAGTATATCCGTTCCTCTCTTGACTTGTATTTCTTACTCTTTCCATTCTGTCCCTTTCCTTTTCTTTCCCCCTATGTCTGTAACTCTCCCATCTTCCATAGTCCCAATCCTCTAATCTTCCATAGCTCCCTCCCATTCTATCTTCCTCTATTCCCCATTCCTTCAGTTTCTTCTCTTACCCCATCTCTCCAACCCCAATCCTCCCTGTATCCTTCATCCTTCTATTTCTCATGCCCATTCAAACTGTGTATCTACATCTCCAGTCTAGTTGCTATAATCTCCACCTCCATATCCTCTATACCTCCATCTTCCATCTCCACATTCCCTAACTTCCCATCTCCATCTAGATTCTTCCACTTTTCAATTCAACAAACATTTATTAATTACCTACAACATGCAAGGTTCTGTATTAGGCTGCCTTATCCATGGACATCACACTAGCTACACTGCATAGAGACACCGGCTTTACGTGTACATCTGGCACAACCCCTTGAGAAGCAGCATGTATACCTCTCCACTTATGAATTCTATGTGTGTCTACTCTTCCTACTGGTGTTGCATTTATTTGTGGTACCCAAGGTTTATGGGGCAGTTATTTTGTGCTACTGCTTTTGCTACATCAAATTAATAAATGTCTGTGCTTTGAGCTGATTGTGTCCCAGATGAATAAAGTAAAGGTAAACATAGTGGTGGAGACTTGTGGACTGTACGTTCAGATACATGGAACCACAGAGTACCTGCACTAACCTGGACTAGTCAACCCTCCCCACCCAGGAGCCAACGGAAGAGGGTGAGTCAGAAACTGAGGCAGACTAGAATGGGACTGCAGTGTTTCACAGGAAGTTACACGAGCTACAAAAGGGAGAGTTCATACTGTCCTCAAACATTATCACGCTATCACGTGGTCCTTGAATGGGTCACATGTGATGAATATTCCAGTACTCGTTTGGCTCCCTTGACACAGAATTTCAAATTTGGAGGAAACCATACTCTCCTCCCCCAAACCTGCTAGGACCACTGAGAAAGGCCCCACCCCCTCTTGCAGTAGCCCATTCCACTTCTAGATGCCTCTAATTGGTAGGAAGCTCTCTCCTGAATCAAGACTACATTTTCCTCTCTGCAACATCCATTCACTGCTACTGGCTCTCCCCTCTGGAACCGAAGAGAACAGGATCATAGATTTAGAATCAGAAGGGACCTTAGAGGTCATCTAGGCCAACACCCTCACTTTACAAATGAGGAGACTGAGGTCCCCAAAAGATAAATTACTTGCTCAATGTATCTCATATGGCAGAGTGAGGATTTGAGCCCAGGTACCCCAACCCCAAACACAGTTCTCATTCCATTATACCCCACTGTCCTTCTCCTTAAGAGTTTCTGCAATGCTTAAAGATCGCTCTCCTTCTCTGCGCCACCTCTCAATCCTATTGTTACTTCTGTCAGCCCTACGCCTCCATTCCTCATGCTCCCTCCATCCACATACATCCAGCTCCCATGTCTGTCTTGTAATCTCTATCCACAACCTTCATTCATCCTCCATCACCCTTTCCCACCCTCCCTCATCTCCCCATATTCATATCTGCCCTGTCAATTTAATTCAGTTCAACATTTTAAATCACCGACTATGAATAAGACACTGTGTTAGGAGCTGAGAATAGAAAGATAAAATGAAAGTCAGTTCCTTTTCCCAAAGACTTTATATTGCATTTACTTCCTCTCAATCTCCACGTTCCCATTCCTTAATCCCCCAGCTCCCAATCCTATATCTCTCTATTCCATGCTCTCCCATCTTCATATCACCCTGTATCTCCTATCACCACATTACCCATCTTCTCTCAGTAACTAATGGCTCTGGACCTGTGTTCAAATTCACCTTGGATGATTACCAACTGTGTTACCTTAGGCAAGTCACTTGACCTCCCTGGACTCAGTTTCCTCATATGTAAAATGAAGGGGCTGGATTAAATAGCCTTTAAATCCTAAACCTATGATCCATTCCCCCGTCTCCTCCTCATCTCCATATCCTCCTGTAACTTCTATAATCTAACTTCTCCACCTCTATAACCCCCATGGTTGCCATCCTCCTATTCCCTTTCTCAAAATCTCCATGTATCCCCCATTTTTCCATCTTCTATCTCCATTCCCAATATTCCTCTTCAACCTACCTGCCATCTGCCAGTGCCCAATCTCCACATTTTCCTGTTTCTCCCACCTCTTCATCTCCCACCTCATCATCCCCTTATGTTCCTTCTCCCCCACCCCGTACCCCTACTTAATGCCCACATTCCTGGGTGGGTCTCCATGCTAAGGCCCATCGGGCCATGGCGCACCCAGTGGCATGCCGATGCCATAGCCCTTGGTATCGAGGAGGCCCCCAATCTGGGTGAGGTTGCAATTGAGGCGCCTGTGATACTCATTCATGGTAGACTCCAACAAGAAGGCATAGCGGGAGTTGAGGACTCGGGCGATGCCTTCCTCTGTGCTCTTCACAAACACACTGGGCTGCTTGGACTGCATGTAGTTCCACATCCGCTGGTAAGTCTGGTACCGAGAGTTCTGGTGGACGTGGGAAGATAGGGGGAAGGAACAGCACGTTCATGCCATGGTCCTCCGTCATCTCTGTACCCATGACCCTCCTCTGCTTCCCCAAGTCCTGCTTAATCTCCACCCCACCCCTTCTCAACCAGGAACCTTCTTGATTAAACCATTCTCCTACATCACCTTTAATGTCCGTGCACTTGTTTATATGTTGATAACTTTATTTCAATACAATCGGTTTCTTTTTAATCCTAATGTATTTTATTTTATATGTTAAAAAACACAAGTTGGAGGAGCCACACTACCCAATCCTACCCCTAGAGTTCCAGTGTTGCTGATTCCAGCCCAACACCTGGTAAGCTGCCAGAACCCTACAGCCTCCAACTGCCGGCACTGGAAGCCCCAGCACACAAAGCCTAGGCTCCCAACAAAAGAAGCTTGGGTCAGTGCCCTCTGCTCCCCAGCAGGAGAGCTCAATCTCTTTAAAGGTCAGGAAAGAAGCAAACACCATGAGCGAAAAGAAACATACTATAGATTCTTATTATGGGAAGAGTGAAGATCAAGGCAGATATTCTGAAGGGGACAACATTGTCAACAAACCCACATCTGGAACCTCAAAAAGGAATATGAACTGGTCTCACGTCCAAAAAGCCTTCTTAGAAGAGTTCAAGAAGGATTTTAAAAATCAAATGAGAGAGGTAGAAGAAAAAATGGGAAAAGAAATGAGAGGTATGCAAGAGAGAGTCAATAGCTTGGAAAAGGAAGGACAAAAATTAACTGTAGAAAACAAGTCCTTAAAAAATACAATTGGCCAACTGGACAAAAGTACACTGAGGAAAACAAGTCCCTAAAAAATACAATTGGCCAGATGGGGAAGGAGGTACAAAATCTAACAGAAGAAAACAATTTGTTAAAAACTAAAACTGGGCAAATGGAAGCTAATGAGAGAGCAAGAATCAGTCAAACAGAAACAAAAGAATGAAAAAAAAATAGACGAAAACATAAAATATCTCATTGGTAAAACAACTGACCTGGAAAATCGATCCAGGAGAGACAATTTTAAAATTATTGGTCTACCTGAAAATCACAATGAAAAAAAGAGCCTGGACAGTATCTTTCAGGAAATTATACAGGAAAACTGCCCTGAGGTCCTAGAACCAGAGGGTAAAATAGACATAGAAAGAATGCACCGATCACCTCCTGAAAGAGATCCCAAATTGAAAATGCCAAGGAATATAGTAGCCAAATTCCAAAATTACCAGGCCAAAGAGAAAATACTGCAAGCAGCCAGAAAGAAACAACTTAAATATCTTGGAACCACAGTCAGGATTACACAGGACCTTGCAGCTTCTACATTAAAAGACTGTGGGGTGTGGAATATGATAATCCGTAAGGCAAAAGAGCTTGGATTATAACCAAGGATCAATTACCCACAGAAAATGAGTATGATCTTTCAGGGGAGGAGATGGATATTCAACGAAATAGGGGACTTCCAAACCTTCCTGATAAAAAGACCAGAGCTCAACAGAAAATTTGATTTTCAAATACAAGACTCAAGAGAGACATAAAAAGGTAAATGGGACAGAAAGAAACAACAGGTTATTAATAAGGGCAAACTGTTTACATCCCTACAAGAGAAGATGACACTTGTAACTCTTGAGAACCGTATTTAACATGGTATTACACCATGTTAAAGGGGTATACATAAAGGGGGTGGGTATAAACTGACTTTGATGTAATGACAAAAAAAAACTAATCAAGTGGGTTAAACAGATCCAAGTAAGTGGGTTAATCTGATCTAACTAAGAAACTGTACTGAGAGAAAAGGAAAGGAGGAGACAGGCAAGGGTAAATTACATTTTAGGAAAAAGCTCAAAAACCTATTACAGCAGAGGGAAAGAAGGGAGGGAGACGAGCATTGTTTGAACCTTACTCTCATCAGATTTGGCTCAAGAAGAGAATAACATAATCAGTTAGATATAGATATCCAACTTGCCCTATAGGCAGCAGAAGGGAAAAGGGGAAGAAAAGGGAGGGGGCTAATAGAAGGGAGGGGGGACTAAGGGAGGTGGTGGTCAAAAGCAAAACACTAGTGAGGAGGAGAAAGGAGACAAGAGAAAGAAAAGCATAAACAGGGGTGGGGGAAGGATGGAGAGAAAGACAGAGATAGTAATCATAACTGTGAATGTGATATATGAATGTAATGGAATACTATTGTGCTATAAGAAATGATGAACAGGCAGACTTCAGAAAAACCTGGAAAGACTTGTATGGTCTGATGCTGAGTGAAGTGAGCAGAACCAAGAGAACATTGTACACAGTAACAGCCATGTTGTACAATGACTAATATTGATAAACTTAACCTTTCCCAGCAATACAAGGATCTAAGACATCTCCAAAGGCCTCATGATGGAAAATGCTATCTACATCCAAAGAAAGAACTCTGGAGTTTGAATGCAGATTGAAGCACACTATTTGCTACTTTTTTTTCTTCTGTTGTGTTTTGTTTTCTCTTTCTGGTGGTTGCTCCTATTGGTTCTAATTCTTACTTACATCACAAATGTGAAAATATGTTTAATAGGAATGTATACATAGAGCCTGTATCAGATTGTGTGCTGTCTTGGGGAGGGAGGTGGAGAAAATTTAAAACTCAAAAGCTTATGGAAGTGATTGTTGATAAATCAAAATCAATTAATTAAAAAAGAAAAAAACACAAGTTGGGGAGAAAAAAAAAAAGGTCTGTAGGCTTCATCAAACTGACTGCCAAAAGGGCCCGGACTCACAAAAAAAGTAAGAACCTCTGCCTTACTTAGTAGCCCTTTGGCAATTTGGGGCTCCATTCTTTCTCATAATAACATACTCCTCCCAAGGACAAGGTCATGTATCCCCCTTACAAGGGCTGTGCTACCTTTCCCTACTTAGACTGAGGGATTTTTGAGAGCTATGATTTCCCTCTCATCCTTGGGGTTTCTGGAGGGCAAGACCCCATTCCCCACCTAAGACACCTGAAGCCTGAGCTATGCTCGCCTTCCTCAGATCATGGCCGCCTTGAGAGGGGCCTTCTTTCTCAGGATGGGGGTGGCTCTCCCTGACAGTAGGGCCATGGTTCATTTCTTTGGCCCCCCGATGGCCCACTGGAGGTTTTCAATACCTGAGTCCCACTCCCTGCCCCATTTTGTCTCCCATCCTTGACTTGCACTAGGTCAATCGTTGGCCAGGTGGAGAGGAGCTAACCTTGCCCCAGACTCTCCAGCCATCCTCTAAGAGCTGTTCTTGGTGCTGAACCTGATCATCCCACCCAGCAGGATGGATCCAGTTCCTCTGCTCAGCCTAACGATGTTCCTTTCCGGGAGGGACAGGGACTGAAGGAAACACTGAGGAAGGGGACTGGGAAAAATGAGAGACGGGAACAAGAGGGACATTTCTGGAGGTAAACCTCTGAGGAAGGAAGACTAGGAAATACCGAGAGAACCAAGGAAGACATTGAGGGAGGCCACTGGTGGATTGCCAAGGGAAAGGACTAGGAGGCCCTGAAGGAGGGATTTGATAGATCGCTAGATGGGGCGTGGGCCTAGAAACAACAAGGGAGAGGACTGAGGAGACATGGAGAGAAGGGAGTGTGAGACGTTGAGGAAAGAGACTGGGGGGAGTGGAAAATGAAGGAGGACCGAGGAGAGACAGGCGAGAGAGTGATGGGGACACATGGAGGGGCTGCTAAATCGTAAAAGTACCTGGAAAAACGTCATGGTGGAGCCCGCGTGGATGGTCCCGTACTCAATATTGGTCTGGTCGGCCAAGTCGTCAGCCGACTCCACGGGCACCTCCATTCGCTGTACGGTGAGAAAGGCCGCCAGGTTGGCCGTGTAGGAGGAGATGATGATGAGGGTGAAGGCCCACCTGGTGGGAGGGGGCAGTGACTCGCCCAAGTCCCCCTGTCCTGGAAGCATCAAAGCCCAGGCTCCTGGACTCTTCAGTCCCCTATTTGCTCCCCAATCCCCTGCACCCTGAAGCTTCAGGACTCATCCGTAACTCATCCCAGGGACATCTTCACCCCAACAGGGGTTTTCTAGAGATGTTCCTAATGTGGAAAGAGCCATGGGTTCTGATCCATCTGACTTCCAGCTGGTTACATCTTCTGTGCATTTCAGTTCCTTCAACAGCTGATTGGATTAGATAAACTCTAAGGTCCCATCCAGCTCGGAAATCCTGTATTCTGTGTTCTAAGGTCCCTCAAAGTTCTGACATTCCCCATTCTAAGTACCCTATTCTAAGGTCCCTTCCAACTCTAACATTCTATGTTCAGAGGTCCTTCTTATCTCTGACACTCTCTATTCTATGTTCTAAGGTCCTTCTCTGATCGGACATTATCTGTTCTGAGGTCCCTCCCAGTCCTAACATTTTGTTTTTTCTAGATCCCTCTACAATATACAGGAACAGGCTATCAAGAAAGTTGCATTCTGACCCCAGAGCTGTCCCTAATATGCTGTGGGTGACTGGGTAATTTATTCCCCCTCTTTGAGGTGAATAAATAGATTTTCCCAAATCTACAAAATGAAGATGCAGTCAATGGTCATCTCTAAGTGCCTTTTAAACTGCCCAGATACCCCAGGATCCTTCCACCCCCCCAGCTCACCCCACTCCCCTGGCCCACTCCATCACCCATTGTGATTAGTGCCCTCACCAGACCCCGCTGACACATCGTGTAGAAAGTGCCCGGGGCATGATCTCGGAGCCCTGCTGCATGAAGCCCCCGACGGGGAACCACAAGCTGTTGCCCAGGGTATACTGATTCTCCACCACATGGGGACGTGCTCGGAGGCATGGGTGAGGGTTATACCACTCATAAGGGCTCAGCCTGCAGGAACATGGAGAGATGGGCCATGGCAGAGACAAGGACTGGCAGGCAGACATACAGGCAGAATAACAGATGGAAAGATAAGCAGGCAGGGGAGGAGGCGGAGCCCTGGAGGTGGCAGAGAGGGTGATGGTGCTTCATGACCCAAGAAGAGGAAAGAAACAAGGAGGGTGAGAGACAGGAGAAGAATGACATGGATCAATAAAAAAGAGATGAGAACAGGGACAGACAAGAGAAGGGCAGTGACAAAAACAGCAAAAGACTGAAAAGGAAGGAGATAGGAGGAGAGAGGGGCAGGGCAGGCTTAGGAAGAAGGGCAGAGACTTGGGGTATGTAGATGGGGAAGAGGGAGGCACTGATCAGGGTAGGAACAGAGAAGAGGAAAATAAAAAGAAAGATGACAGAGATAGATTGACAAGAGAAATATAGGAAAAGAACAGGAAGGAACAAAGAGGTGGGGAGCAGGAACTGACAGAAAGAGACAAGGAAAAATCAGATCAAGGAAGAAACAGGGGGAAAGAGAAGAAGAGACAGACAAAGAGAAAAGACAGAGTCAGAGGCAGAAGAAACCAGGTCAGGGCAGAGGTAGAGAGGGAGGGACTGGGAGGCACTGAGAGAGACCAGGGTGCAGGTAGAGGAATTGTATGGGGGGGTAGAGGGGGGGAAAGAGGTAGGTAGTGCTTGCTGAGATGAGAAGGGACCAGGGCAGGGACAGAGATGGAGAGAGCCTGTGGCCAGGACAAGAGACAGAAAGGGAGGCCCAGGCAGACAGACATACAGAAACAGGATCCAGGCCTCACCTGGCTGCCAGAAAAAGGACACAGCTAACAGCCAGGTAAGCCAAGAGCATGAAGAGCCACACAGCAGGTGAGAAGGGATCGAGGAAGGAGAAGTAGCCAGGCTTTCGACCCTGGGGCAGGGGGGAGAAAGCCAGGTGTCAGTGATCCCTGTGCGTACTCCCTCAAGGATACAGGTGACTTCACCCCGCCAAGCACACACCCTCTGGAATGCCCAGCTCCCAAACCCCCTACCTTCCATTCCCCCGGGAACTCAACCATCCCAACCCCCAAGTCGGCACCTCCTCAGGAACCCAGACACTTGGTGACCGGGCCCCAGGGACCCCTACCATGTGCACTCTGTAGAGGATGCTGATCCCGAGAGTCATGAAGGGTTTAGAGAAGTCTATGACCTTCTCCCGCTCAGCTGTGATTGTGAAGGCAGCCACTGCCAGGTCTGCCTTCTGCTGGGGATGTGGGGATGACAGACAGACAGACAGAGACAGAAAGTGGAGGGAGGAGAGAGAGAGAGAGAGAGAGACAGAGAGACAGAGAGACAGAGAGAGAAATTCAGAGAGAGATGAAGAAACAGAAATACAGAAATACGTAGAGACACGGAGATAGAGACACAGATATGGAGATAGGGAAAGTTTGGAATGGATGTGGGGGAGGGAGATAGATACGATGTGAGACCAAGAAAAATAACCCAGGATTCAGATGTTCGTTGGGGGAGGGGACGAAGAGGAGGAGCAGCTGATTAGGAGTCCAGGAGGATATTCCCACATAAGTTCGGGCTCCCCTCCTGCCTGAATTCTTAGCCCAGCCTCCCCTAAAATCTTTGGTCTCGCCTCCCATCTCCCCTGCCCAGACTCTGGATTCTCCTGCCTACAGCTTGCCTCAGATCAATGCTCTCCTCATTCAGGGACTTTCCGGGGCTTCTGGAGTCCCTTAATATCCACTTCCCTCATCCTAGCATTCAAGGCCTCTGAGGTCACTCTCTACCCTTCTGTCAGGCTTATCATCCCGCCTAGAACACCCTCCCCACTCTTATCTGTAGCCTCATCACGTCATTTTCTCCTCTAAAAATGAGAAGATTGGACGGAATGATCATCAAGGTGCCCCCCAGCTCTGACATTCCCAGACCCAACATTCTCTGTTCTAAGGTCCCTTCCACCTTCAACATTCTTTTCCTCATTCTCTGTCCCTCTCTCTCTGGGCTCTGCCTCACTCAGTGGTCCTCCTTCCCTCCCTCCTTGGGCCCAAGAGCTCCTGCTGCCCCATACCCGGTTGATGAGTTCCCCAACCATTCCAGTCCAGGAGCCATTGGGTTCCGGTGCCCCATACAGCCCATCTTCTACTAGCCGAAGTCGGAATCGAAAACGGAGCAACTCGGCCAGCTCTCGAAGCATGTCCACACAGAAGCCCTCAAACCGCTCATTTCCTGACAGAGACTGGAAGTTGGGCCTTCGCATGACGTATGGATTCTCCTGGGGAAGAGGGAGGCGAAAGGGAGAAGAATGGTCAGAGTTCAAGGCTCCAGGATCCAGAATTAGATAAAAGTGTGGAAGATCCGAAATGGAGAACCCACAATTATCAATCAAGAACTTGGAATCAGGGGTCAAGGAACTGGGATCAAGGTTCAGAGATCAATGACCCAAGAAAGAGTAAGGATTCATAATAGGTTATCAGACACCAAAGATTAGAGGTCACGGATTAGAGATTACCCAATTAGAGACACTCAGAAAAATAAATAGGAAAGGCCACAGAGAAGTAATAGGAAAGAGCCTCAAAGTCTGGGTTGTGTCTCCCAAGGGCAGGACCTTTCTCCACAGGGCAACTGGCTGGAGACACCAAGGAATCCTGCGGTTTTATAGACATGAGTGCCCCATGGTCCTTGGGGAGCAGTCTTATCTAGAAATCTAAAGTTCGCTCTCTCCCAAATTCTGCTTCTCTCCAGTCAAAGTCCCCTCCCTTTCCTCTGCCTCTTACCAAGATGGTGGTGACCACAAGGGTCTTGTTGGCTAAGGTCTGGGACAGGTTGATGTCCAGGGTGGTGGCATTCATAGCCAGAGTCCGATTGGAGTACCACACCCCGATCTGGAAGGAGGAGACAGGTTCAAGCCTGACTTTGTGGAGGCAGAGGTGTCCAACCCCCCCCCCCATATCCCACCCCCAGTCCTAAATCTTCAGGGATCCAGGCATCTGGGTCCCAAGTCCATGGCTGCTTCAGTTTTAGCTCCTCCCTTCCCAGAAATTCCATTATCCATCCCCTCCAACCCTGCCAACTCTGGAAGCTCAGTGGTCAGCCCCACTCACCTCCCGATGGCCCTCTCGGGACTTCTCGAGGATCCTCAGGGTGTAGTTGGTTCGTTGACCTTTGCTGTTGAACTCAACTCGCCCAGTCAGCCCATCATACTCTACCTAGCCAGGGAGGGGAGGTCGGGGAGGGGACAGGTACGGAGGGCAGAACAGAGGAGGGCAGGAGAGATAGAGACAAATGGAGACAGAAAGACAGAAATATACCCAGAAGAAGAGTCAGAGGAACAGAAACCAGAGGGGGAGAGAGAGATGCCCAGAGGCAGAAAGAGAAATAGAGGGAGAGAAAGGGAGGGAACAGTTCAGAGAAAGAGTAAGAGACCAACGGAAAGGTGGGGACGAGAACAATGTCAAGAGGCAAACAGAGCGGAAAAGAGGTGGAGAGGATAACCCAGAAGAAGAGACAGAAACAGAGGCATATAAAGACCAAAACAGAGAGAGAGATGGAAGGTGGGAGAAGTAGAGAGATGCCCAGAGGAAGAAACAGGAACACCCAGAAGAGAGATGGGTGAAGAGGAAAGCAGACAGAGACAAATGGACAGAGGAACAGGATAGGAAAGTCCAAGCAGGAAAAAAAAATGAGAGGGACAGAGAGATTGATAGAGAAACAGAGAGACACCCAGAGAGAAGGCAAGAGATGGAGAAGAAACAGAAGCCCAGAAAGATACGTAGAAAGGTGAAGACAGAGATCAACATAGAAACGGAGAGAGAAACAGTGAAAACAATAGAGATAGAAAGGTGCAGGCAGTTAGACACAGAGAGACAGACAGATCAAGACAGTAAGGTAGAAATGACAGAGATACTCCATCTCCACCTCTCACCCATAGAGGTACAGAGGGAGGAGGAAACATAGAGACAATCATATGGATGCCCACAGAACAGAAATGTCCAGAAGAAAGTGACAGTGTCAAAGACAGGCACAGGCCAAGAGGGAGAAGAGTCCCTCATGGACAAAGTTAGACATACGATGGAGAAAAACAGAAAGAGGTCTCCAAAGTGAGATACAGAGACACAGAGATGGAAGAGAAATACCCCCACATACACACAGAGAGACAGAAAGGAAGTACCCAGAAAGCCCAAGACACAAGGGTTGAGGCCAGGAAAGAGAGGGGAGCAGGAATGGGCACACAGTAGACTTCCCCACCTCTCAGCCCCAGCCCAGTCTCATCCTGGTCCCCAGCCTGCCAGCTCACCATTCGAAGGTAGTTCATGAGGCTGGTCCCATGGGGCCAGATGTTGGAGGAGGTGCAGGCCAGGGGTTTCACGCCAATCTCCTGGCTTCGATTCAGCTCTCTCACAGCACTCACAACCACATGCACAGCATCAAACATCAGGGCTGCAGACAACTGGAGTGGGGAGGGAGAAAAAGGAGCAGGGGAGCTCAGCAAGGGCAAAGCCCTGCTGGGGCCTGAAGGCTTCAGGGCCTCTCCCTTCCTTCTTCTCTTTTCCTCCTTCCCTCCCTCTATCTCTTCTTCCCTCTTTTCATCACTCCCCCCTCCCTCTGCCTCCCTCCTTTCTCTCTCTTCATCTTTCTGTCTTTCCTTATCTCATCCCTTCCACCTCTGCATCTTCCTGCCTCCATCACTCCATATCCTTCCCCTCCCATTCCTTTTTGCCTGTCTGCCCCTATCCCTGCATTCTCCCATCCCTCAATCCCTCTCTTCCCCATCTCTGTCTCTCCTGATATCTCTCCATCTCTGTGTCTCCAGGCCTCTATTTATCTTCATGGCCCTCTTTCTCCATCCCTTGCTTCATATCCTGGTCTCCTCTCTGCCTCCATCTTTTTCAAATTAAAATTTATTTTTGTTTAATTAACAAGCATTTATTTTCTCTCCTTCTCACATACCCTCCCCACTAGAAAAAGGAAAGGACAGGAAACACCTTGTAATAAATATTCTGTCTCTATATTTCTGTCTTTGTCTTCCCAGGTCTTTCGGACCAGCTGTTCCATGGACTGAAGGAGAGGGTAGGGTTATTTCTGCATTTCTTGGAGTGTGTCTGCATATATACATTCGGATGCATGCATTTCATGAGGCTGGGTTCTTTCTATATTTGGGTGTATCTGTGTATACCTCAGGAATTGTGTGTGTGTGTGTGTGTGAGAGAGAGAGAGAGAGAGAGAGAGAGAGAGAGAGAGAGAGAGAGAGAGAGAGAGAGAGAGAGAACAGACAGACAGAGAGACAGACGAGAGACACACAGAGGAGACAAAGATAGCCAGAGACAGAGAGACAGAGAAAGAGACAGAAACAGAAAGACAGAGAAAGACATAAAGACAAAAGGAGACAGAAAGAAAGGAGGGAGAGACAGAGAAACTGCAATAGACAGAAAAAGGTTGGGGATGAATGCACCTGAATGTTTCTGCAGTTGTCTTGGTTATGCTTGTCTGTGTATCAGGGGGTGTGTGTGTGTGTGTGTGTGTGTGTGTGTGTGTGTGTGTGTGTGTG